GAAGGATTATTGAATTTATTTATGAATGATTATTTAATTTGCTCGAGGTTTATTTGATTTGTTTGTGGATATATTTGATTTGATTGAGGAATTATTGAATTTATTTGTAGATGATTATTTGATTTGTTCGTAGATATATTTGATTTGATCGTGGATATATTAGATTTGGTCGCGGATATATATGATTTGTTTGTGATTATACTTGATTTGATCGAGGGATTATTGGATTTGATCGTGAATATATTTGATTTGGTCGTGGATATATTTTATTTGTTCGTGGATATATTTGATTGAAAATGAATACGGGTCGTGATTTCGAATTGAGGTTATTTGTGATTATGCTTATCGCGTGTTTGGTGCATTTATCGGTGGGCTAGTGAAAATGGATCAAAATTACATAATTTGATATCTTGATATATTGGAAACCTCTCATTTGGATTTTCATGTGAATGTGTGGGATTTTGTTGAAATTGATTATTTATAATTTTTTAAGCATGTCATTGCTCGAGCATGTCTTAAATCGAGGAGATAGTGATGATTTTATTTGATATCTTGTTTTTTTGGCGTGAAGAATTGCAAAATGGATGACTTGAATATAATGCGGATAACGATATCTCTTTGAATCTTTGTCGAGGAAACGACAAAATAACCCAAGTCTTGAAAAGCTATGTCGGACGAGCTGTTGAGTGTCGAGGACAACATGAACGAGCATGAATCAATCAAAATGATGGTGACAAGGAGGGACGGGCCTGGATGATTTTAATCACCGGTGGCGATTTCAAAGGCAGAAATCATTCTCTTTTGGAGAGATAGTATTTAGGATCTTCAGATGTGAAATTAATCTCAACTCTTGTTTCGGTCAAGTTCGACCGACATGATTTTGTGATACATTATCTTAGCATTATTTTTTGGAGAAATGTTCATTATATGAATATTTGAGCTAAATGTGGTTAAGATTGTGGTGTATATGGATATGTTTGGAATTATCATGCTAGTTGATATGGGATATTATACGCACAAGGCTAAACCGGTCTGCTGAACTAGTTGAGAGGGTCAAACCATGAGGATGTCGAGCCAAGCGGAAGGAGGATTGACCATTCGGTCAGTCGACCAGTCAAGTAGTCGACCAATCCATCACTCGACCAGATAAGCAATCAAGCAACGTAGTCGACCTCAACAGGTCGATCACCTCGCGGACTTAACACATAAATGCATCGGCCTAGTCACAGGCGCGTGTAAGAGCCTCTAACCGAATTTCAGGAGAATATTTACCCCATGTGCAAGAGGACACGTGTAAAGAATATATTGGTTAATAGCGATAACCACCTCTGACAGCTCCCAACTCCCCGCGCCACCTCTGACATGTGCGCGGCGTGTCAGAGTATGGACGGGCAGCTTGGGCAGCCAGCTCACCTTATCCGGGCAGCTATTAGGGCAGGTATCTCACCCCTATAAAAAGGGGGTGAGCCTTTCTCCCTTAAGACGTTCTATCCATTATTCAACTCCAGTATACTTATACACATATTGACTTAAGCATCGGAGGCTCTTCACCGGACACAACCTCCGGTGTGAGAGTTACTTGCAGGTTTCCGGCATTCTACCGGCAAGGACAAAGATCGATCCGCTCCAAACTGGGCCAGGACGCTTACACTTGCATTACTAGTGACTAGCAAAATGCAGAAAATGAGGTGTACATGGACCCTCGAACAAAACCTGGCATGACTAAGGCCTTCGGGCTGGCCAGTTTTGAGTCGCCGTGACAAAGGAGCTCGGTATTGGGAGTAACTCATTTGAATTTTTATTTGGTGCATTCGTTTGATGATTGTTTGTTGCTTCAGAGTATGGTTTGTTGAAATTATTTGTTGAATTCATGGTTTTGTAAAATTTTGGTCTATCGTACATTGAAGTGGGTTTTATGTGATTTCATATCGTGATAAAGAGGCTTGCATGTAGATGAAGGAGTGGAATAAAAGCACGTTGACCAATTTGATTGCTTCGATTTATTTATCTTTTGTTATTATTGCTATCGGGATTGCAAATGAGATAACATGGATAAAATACGACTAATGGGATTTGTTGAGTTTTTGTTGAGGAAAATACATAAACAGGTGTACTGGGTATTGGTTACAGTGAGGAGTGGAAAGCATGGAGCAAATAACAACTCAATTCGTCGTGTACAGATAGGAAAGAGAGGTCAACAAATATGCTTGATTTATTTTATCTTGTCCGATATAACTATGCATTTGATAGGACTAATGAAAAGGATCAATTACTATTCTATCTTGTGTTTGGTGTGTTTTCGTGTCGACCACATTGGCAGGTTGAAGTGTTCGAGCAGTTCAGAAGGACAAAATCCATCATGACTAAGGCCTCTGGGCTAGGTGGTCGCATGTATCGACCACTCCTTCGAGGGTGGGCATGTGTTCGAAGATAAAAAATCCACCATGACTACGGCCTCCGGGCTGGGTGGTCGCATGTATCGACCAATCGTTTGAGGGTGGGCATGTGCTTGACAAAAAAAATCCACAATGACTAAGGCTTCCGGGCTAGGTCATGTATCGACCACTCTTTCGAGGGTGAGAATGTGTACGAAGATAAAATTACCCATCATGATTAAGGTCGAGAGGCTGGATGGTCGCATGTATCGACCACTCGTTTGAGAGTGGACATGTGCTTGACGATAAAAATCGAACATGATTAGGACTTTTGGGCTGGGTGATCGATCCTAGTGTTGGGTCGTTGAAGATATGGAGCATATCATAGACCTCGGAGGCAGGTCAATGATCTTTACTTGATTTTGTCGAATTTATTTTTCGACCATAATGGCAAGTCGAGATTCGAGGGAGTTTATTTGGTGCAATTCACGGTGTTATTTGCAGACCTCAATGGCAGGTCAACGATTCTTACTTGATTCAGGTTTATCGAATTTATTCCTCGACTTCAGTGACGGGTCGAGGAAGTTCACTTGGAGCAGTTCACGGATTCAGGTTATTCAGATAGATGTCTTTATTTGGATTGGTTTGGTCGAATTCTATTTTTAGACTTCAGCGTGGCGTCAGGACGTTCGATTCTTGAGAGGATAAACAACGGGCTAAATTTCAAATTTTGAACTGAGGGGTGATGATAGAACGAGGTGGTAGAAAAGTTTAATCTTCGAGCAAAGAGAGATCGAACATTGTGGTTGAGAAACAACAAACGTGAGTTCAAAATTTCAAATTCAAGAATTCAGGGAGAGATCAAGAAAATCTATCAAAGTATCATGGAAATCTAAGTAAGCAGGCTGAGATATATTAAAGGAATGTCGACGTTGCAAAATGAGGAGCATAGGAATCTAATCTAGGAATCAAGGTTCGACCCCAGTGGCGGGTCAATCAATTTTCGACCTCAGTGGTCGTTCAAACGTAGTGGCGGGTCACTCAATTTTTGACCTCAGTTGTCGTTCGGCGTTAGGTGTTCGACCGCAGTGGTGGGTCACTCGGTTCTCGACCTCAGCGGTCGTTCGGCTTTAGGTGTTTGACCCCAGTAGTGGGTCACTCGGTTCTCGACCTCAGCCGTCGTTCGGCTTTAGGTGTTCGACCCCAGTGGTGGGTCACTTGGTTCTCGACCTCAGCAGTCGTTCGACTTTAGGTGTTCGACCCCAGTGGTTGGTAACTCGGTTCTCGACCTCAGCAGTCGTTCGGCTTTAGGTGTTCAACCCCAGTGGCGGGTCATTTGGTTTTCAACCTTAGTAGTTACTCGGCTTTAGGTGTTCGACCCTAGTGGCAGGTCACTTGGTTTTCAACCTCAGTGGTCATTCGGCTTTCGGTGTTTGACCCGAATGGCGGGTCACTCGATTTCGACCTCAGTGGCCATTTGGTGTTCGACCTCGAAGGCAGGTCTCTCGGTTTTCGACCTTAATGGTCATTCGGTGTTCATTTGGGGTCCTGATGCTCGTTTGGAGGTTTGGTGACTATTTAGTGGTCGAGGATTTATTCAAATTATAACCTTGGGGGGTAGGTTAAAGGAAACATCCCGAAAAGGAATTTTACTCTTGTCTCGAGTCATGCTTACTTGATCAGAGTGGAGAGACTAGATGATATAGGATACCAGACTGGTTTTAATGAATAATAAAGGAATATATTGGAGGATAAAGGAATATGTTGGAGAATATACCTACACATGGGCTAGGACATGTGGCATGATGGCATTGGATAAGCCCAACTTAGGCCTTAAGGTACACTCCCCCTACAAAAGGGGGCTAAAGTATCTCATTCTCTCTACATTCATAATTACTCTCTTGGGATTTGGAGTTTTGGAGTGATGTTGACTTGAGCGTCGGAGACCCGATGGCAAGACCCCTCCCGACGTTGGGTTCTTGCAGGTACGAAAGTCGTCTGAGTTGAAGGAGCTGGGTGAATTTTATTTTCACCAACATGATCATTGTGGATGTATTAATTGAATTTTGATATCAATTCCTATTATAATAATTGAATTGTAAATGTATTATATAATATATCAAATTAGTCATCTTTCGATGAATTCCATTTGACATCCATATTGTATATATAAAATAAATAAATTATATTTATCTTTATAATAATAATAAAATTATTTATTAATATTAACTAGAAAATATATATTTATGTTTAAAGTGGTTATATGACAGAAGTTAGAAAAAATATTGTAATATAATACTGATCATATTCTAAAATATATAATAATATATATTTTTGTAAAAACTATTACATTTTAAAACAATATTTCTCAGTAACTTTAAAATTTAAGAATATTTTTTTTAACATGAACCCGTGTAATACACGGGTATTGTACTATTATTACATTCCATTCAATTCCAAAATATAAAATGTGGAGATTCACCTAAGCATACATTATGTAGCGCACGCCACAGTACCCCTGCATATCAACCAATCATTTTAGCCAAATACTGTTCATGGTCAGAAATTTAAATGCATCAAATGGAATCTCAATCAGGGTCCAGGCTGGAAAAACTATACGGTGTTTTACTTTCTCTTTTTGTCATCAGGCCTTGTAAGCCGAACGGGAGCCGCAGGAATCCGGATCCACCACTCCCTCAATCGTCTCACCCCTCTTTCACTACTTTCTTTTCTTAATGGCATGTTCCTTGTGAAACCCTCTAAAAACAAAACTAATATCACATACTTCGTTGGTACAAAAGAAAGAACTATGGCCATTACCACCAACAAGAGAACCAGCTTGTCTGTTGCCTGAAAAATCCAAAAAATACATCTATTATGCCAAAATTTGGAGAATATTATCAGGCAGTCCCTACTTTTAATACATCTGAAAAATGGAGTCATAATCTCGATACAAAACCAATTTTCTTACATCAGCAAAGGATGGAACCTACTTACGACACATGCAATAACCGTTAGTATTAACTTCTATGCTAACATGAGGTTTTGACAAACAACAAACAATATGAATCGTAAATCATCCTTAGGAAATAATTTTACTAATGAAATCGAGTAGCAAATATACAGAGAAGCAATAATACCTGTGGTGGAACAGCAAAAAGCAACGCTCGTAATTTCAAAAGGGTTATATTACCACTTTGGATTATAGACTGAGTTTGGGTAATAGCTTCTTGTAATGTTAAAAGCTGCTCTACTGGATTCTTACTTGGCGGACCTACAATTTGGAATGCTTCCAGTTGCACTCTTTTCCAAGCATAACGGCGACAAAGCATTACAAGCGACAAGAATAAGCAAATTGATGGTAACATGTACCTGACCCAATCCCTGAAATTCATAATGTTGAATTTTTGAGATGTATATCAGATCACTTATAAAGTAACAACTGAATTTTGATATTTGAGAATCAGCTATTAGGGACTAAGATCAAGCACATGATCGTTAAAATTAAAAAAAAAAAAAAAAAAAAAAAAAAAAAAAAAAAAAAAAAAAAAAAAAAAAAAAAAAAAAAGATCAAGCACATGATCGTGCGACCATAAAAAGAACAGTGCAGATTTGATAAATGTGCATAATATAGCCACCAGCCATTGGTTCTTATTTTTAGATGAAGAGTTGGTGCACTTCCATTGTCAGGCATGGTAGGAAAAGTTTTACTGCCGCTATGAAAATGGACACATGACACTCTTGTACCTGAATATCGCATAGCTCAAGAACAACACAAATATCACTGATCTGCAGGGATCATCCCATGAAGCCAAACGATTTAGCCGGTTACACATTTCAATAACAGGGAAGAGCAACTCCTACATATAAACAAGGAACAGTTGTCAAAGCACAAAAAGAAAAGGAAGAAGTTGTATATTAACAATCTTAAAGAATACTGACTTGTCCATTGCAAATGGAGCTGGAAGAGTCATTGTTGACAATTCTCCTAGCATAGTGCTAATAATGGACTAGATCAAAATGGCTCAATTAAATTCTAGTGCTTCTTCTATTAGTGAATTTTCTAGAAAAAAAATATATCAAACGACGCAATGCACCTTGGGTCGCTACATAAACAGCCTCCTTGTATAATTACAAGGGTAAGGTCTGCGTACGACTGACCCCCCAGACCCCAACCAGTTTGGAATACACTGGGTATGTTGTTGTTGTTGTTGTTAAAGAATACTGACAAAACCAAAATGTTTAACTAGGACATACACTGGAAAATTTCATGTACAGTCAAATTACTTTTCTAGCTAGAGTAACACATAAAGGTGGAGTGTAAACATAAAAAGGTATGTCATGCATGTATGCAGATTAATACTATGACAATAATAACTGACGAGAATATCCTATTAGGTAGCAATTTCGTAAATCCAATCCAAAAGGTACAGTTAGGAGAACGGAATTATGATTTACGCATTAAGTATTCAAGGAAAGACACCTTCATCACAGCTAAATTGGTATCTATTCCTTCCACTTTGACTTGGTCAACAGTTGCTTGAGCAGCTTCAGCCATCCCAGTATCCTGTTTCAACTGCTTAACAACAGCTTCTAAGGGATTTGTTTCACCAACAGCAATGTCTCCAGCTTGATGATATGTTGCTTCAATATTTTGTTGTGAATCTTGTGATGAAACAATTTTGAGCCTAACAAGTGTCATGAGAGCAGCTGGAGATAACTGCTGTCTATTTGCGCTAGGGGAACGTTGTCGAAAATCATGATAACCAGCACTAGTAGTTGAACTTATAAGTGTCAAGCGACCGGATAAGATCTCCAATATCATATCTCCTCCAGGAAGACTCTCAGCCAAATTAAAACACAACAGGGTTTTGTAACTAGACGAGGAAACGTGGAAGGCTTCTCTAACTGCACGGAACCGAAATATTCCAAGGACTGCCCGAGCAAGCGCTTCAAACTGCTGATTCCCTTTCAGATTATACTTCCTGATGAACTTGTGTGCACGGAGAATCTCTAGACAGATATCCAACCAATAGTCCCTCCTTGAGCAACCTTTGAATTCTGGAAATTCCAAATAGACAGGCTCTGCTCTACAGAAAAGACTAGAGTCAGGCGACATTCAAATTTCTTGTAGTCGAATTTTCTACAGTTACCTAGTGAACATACATGGATGTTGACTTGTACATCACAGCTTTATCAAAGAGACGAGCACCTAAGGGTCCAGTTAGTTCCGGCTTTATAACTTGCTTCATTTCGGTTGCCAAATCATACCTTACAGCCTTGTCATATAAACCCACGCCAGTCTCAAAGTAAAGAGCGTAATTTGTCAATGTTAAACGCCCTGGAACAAGGTAAATGATATAAAAGAGTGGGAAAATAAAATAAAATCAAGACTGCTAAAGCTAACATTAAACAAATGTTTTACAAATGAAGCAAAAACTGCAATCAACAAAATTGTATGAAAAATATTCAGAAAAATTAGACACTTAATTTCAGAATCAGATCAGGACTACGTGACATTTAGCATGTATATTTATGTCTTATTCACAGTGAGAAAAGGATGAAAATTCCATGGAATGTCAACATATAACTAATTGGAAATAATGAGTTATGACTCCTAATGTGCTCTCTTTGTTTATATGTCCATAACTTAGTCTTAACAAAAGCTGGCAATGGTCTTTTCCAGGTTAGCTGTATCCATCAGCTTCTGAGTTAGAAAACAAAAGCTACCTGGCCATGCAGACATCCCAATGTGTTGCAAAACTGGCTGGGTGGGAGCTGTGCCATCTACGTCTATAATAAATTCACCATCAGCCAGTGAGAGATTGGAAAGGACATGCGGTCCCACTGCATTTTGCATAAATTTTGCGACCCTAACAAAAAAAAAAAAAAAAGTAGGAACATATATCATACGGGTTGACAATCCTCTACGTATTCAACTGCATAGTCGTCATTTACATCATGCTTCTATCAAGTCTAGCTATTAAGTACATAACTATAAGTTCATGAACCATTTTTCAAAAGTTAAGAAACTTTTAGCTGCTTTAAACAATCATATAGGGGTATTCTCCATATGCTGAAAAAATGGCATCAAAGCTTTGGTAAACGAAGGTAAACAAAACAAATATATGTCGAACAAACATAACTTCTAACATCAGCCCTCATGCACAGCGGGCCAAAACCAATTGGGACGAGCCCAAACCAAACATCTCTTCCAAACAAACAAACCTGGCTCTAATACCATGAAAAATGGGCTTTGGTAGAACTCATCCCCAAAAGCTAGCTCTAAGGGATAAGGTGTCCAACACATACTTATACACAATACAACAACAACATACCCAGTATAATCCCAACAGATCGGGGTCTAGGGGGTCAGTTGTACGCGGACCTTACCCTTGTAATTATACAAGGAGGTTGTTTCCGTAGCGACCCAAGGTGCATTGCGTCGTTTGGTATATTTTTTTTTTTTCTAGAGACTTCACTAATAGAAGAAGTACTAGAATTTAATTTAGTCATTTTGATCTAGTCCATTATTAGCACAATGTCAGGAGAACTGTCAACAATGACTCTTCCAGCTTCATTTGCAATGGGCATATTATACACAATAATAGTCCAATAACTAATCCATGTGGAACAAACATAACTTCCAACACTTGTCAACGCAACTAGATAGGAGTTTGGATCTAACTCTATCCACGCATGAAAAGGGAAATACAGGGCCACCAGAATTTTTAATTTAGCAACTTTTTATGCATCAGAAATCAGAATTATGAATGTAAGATGATTTAAGAAAATGTTGTGGAGAAGAAGAAAAAGGAAAATGTAAATTCGCTGACTAGATATAAGTTGATAGGAAGCAATAAACTCAACCGTTTGAGATCTGCTTCACTTCAAGTTCCAGATAAAGATGGGGCAAAAGAATATATATGTTACATAAAAATTTGCTGAAGAAAATGATCATACTTTTCAAGACTCTGAATGTACTTGCTGTATATCAAAAAATGAAGCCGGGGACTTGAAGAACTTGTCAGAACATCAAAAAGATTGTGAACTGTGGCAATGTCTGCAATAATTGGACAGGCAGGTGCTATTCGAGCAAAAGCCTCTGGCCCAACAGTTTTTTTGTTATCAACCTATGTTGTCAACAAGAACTGAATAAATATGCATGATGACATTTCATTGTAACACAATCTTGTAGTACAATTTTGAGGGTACATATTACTGTGATATGTTAAATCCATAGGTGTGTCCTAAAATAATAAAACTACCTGAACAGCCATTTTGGTGGAACTGGAATAGAATAATGACCAACCGTCCTCACCCTCCACATCCTGATTGCCGCAAGAAACGGTTTCCTGCAACACCATAACATTCATGACAAGTCACAAAAGAGGAGAAGAAGAAGGAGAAGTTCATTTCCAACTTACACTATGAATGAGATCACTATCAACGCCAGGGGCCTCCCATGCAATCATCATATCAAATGTCAGCCGGGAAAAGTCCTTATCATTCAAATAATTGGGTTGTGATGTAACCAGACGTAGTGCCTTATACGAGCAAAACTCCACAAAGTTCCTAGCACATAGAGGAGGTTGCCTAAAGTAATCAGGGACCTCAAAATCAAATTGCTCCTGTAACAATTCTGTTGATATGCCAAGAATCCTACAACCAGTAGACGCCAGTGAGAATAAAAATAAATAAATAAAATAAAACTCCTACTCAGCACAATGTTATAATCATCAAACTAACAAGGAGATATAAAAAAA